TTCCATACTTGTACCAAAAATACAGTGTGAAATAAAACTGTAAATGAAAAATAAATAAAAAAAATAAAAATTTATGTAAGGTTGCGTTGACACAGACGGCTGCATGTCAAATCGAACGTGTCAGAAAATAGCACACTGTGTATGCGTCATCTTCATCATTATCATCAATAATAAAAGTGACAGATTAGAAAACTGGAAGATTTTATTACTCACTATCCACTTTGACAGTGACTGATTTCCGCTTCACACGCAACCGATTGACTCAAGTGATAACATTGATAGGTCAAAATTAACAATCAGCTTGATTTTGTGGAAGAAGTGCATCAATTCATTATTGAGAGCACAAAAGACAAATAATGACACTCAGTTGACTGATTGTGTGTGAGCGCGTGATTTGATTGTTCTGATTGTTGAAATGTATTCAGGTCAATACACGCCTATATCAGTTCACCACGCACACATATCCCTGAAAGGAAAACCGTCTGTAATTTTGAACAATATCATAATAGTAAATTGAAAATCCCCATTTAGTCATATGAAAATGAGAAGACGTTCAGCGAAGAGAATCTTTTCGGCGAATTCATTCACATATCTGTAAAATCGCATTCAGATATAATTATTTGTGTGTGTGTACATGAGGTTTGTCAAGTCGAGATAATTGATCAGGTAGTAAAAGAATGATCTAATATAGAAACAAGGTTAATTGGACAGCAACTAAAGTAAGATTGGGTTATCAACTTAGATGACGTAATGTTATTGACTAAAATGTTTCAACTTAGGTCAGGGTAGCAACATAGGTAATTGCAGGTAGAGACTAAGTAGAAGTGCGGTAGAGAATGCCTAATATCAATTAAATTAGAACTGAAACTGAGCAATTAAGTTGGATGACGTAACATAAATGACTAGAAATTGAGCGTTGGTCAGGTCAATTTAGGTGGTAGTGGGGTGTAGAAATTAAATCGGGTGGGGGTGGAGAACAAGAAAGTTGAAAATGCAAAATATTTCAATTAAGAAGACAAAATAATACTAATGAAGAGACAGAAAAAAAGATTAGGTAGAATTTACCTGTCGGGTAATAAGATAGATTAGGTCCATTGTAAGTGTAGTGATTGAACGATTTTCTTCTGTATGCAGAGTTCAGGGCTTCGCGAGTGAATCGCCATTGCTTCTGCAGTTTGAAGAAGTCTGATTCGTACACCTTAAGGAAGACTACTTCTTACTCTGTAGACTACTTTGAAGTTTGTTTGGGGTGCAGCTTGGTGTCCGGATTCTATCAGATGTTCTAAGATGGAGCTGCGGGGACATCGTTTTTCTCCTTTGTAAAACCATGATGGTAAGTGTTCGGTGATACGCTTGGAAAGCGAACGCTGGGTATGGCCGACATACCTGGCTCCACACGAGCAAGTGAATTGATAAATACACATTGATGAGGCCAACAGTGGTAGCTTATCCTTCACGTTCACATGAATCATAGGTTTTGTGGAGAAAGTTAGTCGTAGTTCAGCTGCGAAGAAGGTCTTCTTGAGTGAGCGCGACAGTCGATTTTTTAGTGTTTCCGCAGATATATCTCCATTGAATTGAAGGTTCATGTAGAGTGGTTTCTTCGGGACGCTATGCATGGGCGGCTTTTGTGGCCTAGGATTCATAGATTTTGCAATAAATCGTTCTGGGTAACAATTCTCGACGAGGATTCTCTTGAGATTGTCCAGTTCATCTTCTACGGTGTCCGGGGTACAAATTCTGCGAACTCTGTAGCTGAGTGAACGGATCAGGTTCCGTTTGGTGTATAGGGGTACCCAACTGTGGAAGTTAATAAGCTGTCCGTTCCATGTTGACTTTCTGTAGATAGATCTTTTCAGTGTTCCATCGTGTTCTCGTCTTGTTAGTTGGATGTCAAGAAAGGATATTTTAGAGTTGGACTCTTTCTCCAGCGTGAACTGAATTGCGGGGTGGCAGTTGTTAGACGACTTCAGGATGTCGTCTAGATTCTCTTCATTGTTGAGGATAATGAAAGTGTCGTCGACGTATCTCTTGTAGATTCCAAAGGTATCGATCATTTTCTTCATGCATGTGTTTTCGAGTTTTGCCATGAAGAAGTCTGCAAGTAATGGGCCTAGTGGTGAGCCCACAGCTATACCATCCTTTTGGCGATATATTTCGTTGTTGAAAGAGAATCGAACATTCAGGGTACACCTCAGCAGGAGTTCTTTAAGACGCTCGGTGGGTATACCGATGTTTATTCCTTTGGAATCAATAAGTTCGCATACATAGCATATTGTTTCAGTCAGCGGAACATTTGTGAATAGTGATGTGACATCTGATGAGATCATTGTCCTGTTGGATACGTTGTTGTTTTCAATTGAGTCGATAAAGTCTAATGAATCTCGAACCGTGCGGCAGGAAACTTGTCTTCTGATTGGTTCTAGTAGATCTGCTAGCCATTGGGCTGTGCGGTGATTAGGCGAATTGGTCATGTCGAAGAAGGTTGCCCTTCTTGTGTACTTTCAGAAGTCCGTAGAGTCGTGGTATATTTGAGCCGGATGGTCTTATGTATTCGAACGTTTCGTTATTGATGAAAGATTCAGTTTTTAGCTTACGGAGGGTGTCCGTTAGCTTTTGTTCGGTCTGTTCAGTCATGTTTTTCTCGTTAATCGGTTTTGTGAATTTACATTCATCGGATAGTATAGTCAGCATCTTACTGATATAGTCCTTACGATTCATGATTACGATTTCTCCGCCTTTATCAGGACGTAATATCATAATCTCTTCGTTTTTCATAAGTTCTTTCAGCTGCTTATAGTGCTGAATGGTTCTCAGCAATCGAGAAATACTAACACTGTCGTATGCGTCAGGAATTAATTGGTGGTGATGTGATTCACTCTACCCAGAATGGATTGAGTTGAATGAGGTAAATGATCGGTGTGAAAATCTGTCTCACCACAAGATATCGCATATTTGGTCAATAATAGCTGACATATTCATGGATATTTAGGGAGAGAATCCACCTAAACCATTCAGTTCGTCAATAGAATGTTTAGGGAGATATGTTGACGACACGTTAGTAATAATGAAAAAAGATGTTGACAAATTCTTCTCGCACATAAACAGTCATGTTGACTCAATAAAATTCACTTAGGAAATATAGAATGAAATTGAAGAACTGTGTGCGTTAAACCACAAAATACAATTTGTATAAGATGATAGCATAAATCAACGTTATTTAGAAAAACCACATATTCTGGAAGATTCCTTGATTATCACTCAGCTCATCCTCTCACAGAATACGTAGATATATAGCAACACCAGAGAACCAGCGTAAATAAATAACCATCTTATTAAAAAGGCTACTCGACAAATAATAACTAAACGGATTTATCAAAGATAATAATAAAAAAGAGAAAAAAGAAAGTAAAAGCGGAGGATGACAAGATTGAATAATGCACAGTCACAATACCATAGGACGTTTGTACATCAGAAGCCGTTCGAAGAAACCTCAACAATATTTGGATTCGCACAACCCTTAAACAGACGAATCTCACTAAAAATTTAACAAATCAACTGAAAGATCCCATAAACTCGATGAATAAAACACTGTGATTTACTAGGTAGCTTGAGCTTAGTGTGAGAACAAATATGTGGGTCAAACATCCAGATCACTCAAAATAAGAGTGGATAAAGATGAAAGTCACACCGGATAAATGTTACAAGGGGTTACTCAATACAACTGCCAACGAACTGGAATATCATTCTGAATAGTTTGGTTTGTAAGGGTTAGTTAAGTTTTTACGAGTTGATCACGGATTGACATCAGTAAAGCAACCATCGAAAACCAGTTTCGGAATGCTGAACAGCTGTGTCATCCCAGTTTAGTAATCATCGGAAGTCCGCACACACACTGGGGTTCGAACCCAGGTCTTTCCAGTTACAAGACCACCCTGTTCAAAATGCAGACACTGAGATCAGATTGAAAAGCTCATGAATTCTAACGTCTGCCAATTTGTGATTAAGTGCGACCACAACACATAAATGAATGTTCAATCAACAAGCTACAGTTATAAGTTGGGTAATCACTGTTCGCGTGAGCAGTGTCTCAGGCAGGAATTAGGCTTGATGTTCACGATTGTTTGTCGTGGTTACTGAAGTGACATTCAGTTTTGTCAACTTTGGATTTACTGGGAAATGATATCTGTCATAGGTCACGTCAATTCGCATGACAGTGAGTGGTGAACATGAAGTTGAGTACTTTGCTCAGACTCTGCTCACAAGCACAATCATGTTTTTAAAATACTCTGTTTATCTGTAGAATCGGATCAGATTTCGTGTGAAAGAGATTACATCGGAAAAGCAGATATTTGTGTGAGTGTTCTTCGATTTGTGTAAGTATTGAGCACTACGGATGAAGGTGAAGTTATTGCGATTTCTGGTGAGTAGCAGTGGAATTGAATCCACGATGTGGATTTCACCCTATTTCAGATTCATCATTTGGTGATGTCGTCACTGAGACTTAAACTCAGTGCCCGTCATCACTACATGCCCGATTGGGTTCCGGCGCGAGTTTCAACTCACCGATGTTCAATGATGAGCCTCGACCCGGGTTCAGAGTGATCTGGATCACCCTGAACCTGGCACCAGGTAAGTCAAAGCGTTATCCAATCAACTTTCGTGCAACAGGCATCAAGCAAATCGTCCATTCTGAAGCTAGTTACCATCCACGCAAGTACTTCTTGTAATATTTAGTTGATGAGAAATGATGGATGTGCCTGTGTAAAATACATTTTCTAACGTGTATCATACATCTGGCCAGATAAAATCAATAATCTGCTGAATGACCTGCAGTTTCGATTTCGTTTCCAGATTTTGTCACTGTTTCGCTTTCAGGCCTTTTCTCTCATCAAGTTTAATCCAATCATAACTGAACTACGATTTGTCACACAAACATGCACAAACAGATTCAGTTTAATTCTGATTGGTTGGTTGGTGGAAATGACCAATGAATGGAATAGTGTCATGTGTCATTAGTATAAATAGTCGAACAAAATGTTCTATCGGTATCAAGTTAGGTAGTGCTTATTCAGTAAATCTTTCGGGTGAGTGCCAGTGGTATAAATATATACATGATATACTATGTAATATGTATTTAACTTAAATCTTCACATTCTCGCTACCGAAATGTGTGTATGAATGTCGCAGAGATAGTGTCCGGATAGTCTCTCGTCAACTTAACCAGTCATCCTTACCATCCCATACGTAATTTTAAATTTATCATGTCTAGTATTATTTCGAGTGGAAACTGAGGTAATCTGTACATTCGCGTGGAACTGTAAAACCTGATGAGTGAAGTCGTTCGTAATCTCTTCAGTTTATATCTTCGTATTTATAAGGTCTGTCTGTTATTTGTGAGATCCACTTTGATAAGTCTGTTTCAAAAATTGTCTTGTCATCGCATCAAACCATGAGAGTTTCTTTAATGTAGCTTGGTGGAATAGTCAAGTAGTGCCACTTTAGAAGCGTCACCCCCAAATATATCGTCCACCTTCATGTATTCAACCGTTCTTCAGACAAAACAGTTACGAAATTCAGATATCTTGTCCATCTAATTAGGAAATGAGGTAGAAAGTCGATGAGCTTTCTGCTGAATTCGATACTCTGATTCACAGTCTGCAATAGCCTAATCAACCGTTGACGTCACATCTCGAAATGTAGATCATCAAGTGGTAAGCTTCGCATTCAAGTTTGTAGTAGAAGTAATCCAATGGAATAATTGCGTGCGCATGTTTTGTGTGCAACAATAGAAATCGGTTTACTGAGTTGTCGTAATGAAATAATCTATCCTGTTTCAAGTGAAAGTTAAAGCAAAGGTTCTCCAGCGGTGTTCATTCATCGTTCGATAATCCATGACGAAGTTCTCCCGCTGTGCAAGAGACTATCTCCTACTTCAGTTAGTCGAGAAAAGATGGCATCGATGTGGCTGAGAGTGTGGGTCCGTGGGTAGGAAGATATGTGGTTTTGGCTGGAGAAGGAACTCAACGCCAACAAATACTAGATGTGATAAATACTTGAAATCTCAAATATATATATATAAGAACATATGTTAATATGTGTATATATGCAACGATCTTACAGTTTCACATTTTCATCCAGGTGAATTTCAAGAATGAGTCAGTACTTAAAATTCAGACTAGCTGATAATGTTGTAGACGGATTTCTCAACAGTCTAAGCATTCAGAAAGCGTGATTCACTGGCCGAGTTTCAGACCCATGTGGAAGGGCCAATAGACTGTCTTAACATTGGTGTTGAGAATTCTCATCTTAATCTGTATGCTCAGATTACATCGAAGTAAAGCTTCATTATGTTTTCACTTTCTATTTTTTTTAAGTAAAATGGTGTCAAAAATAAACCTCCTCAGGGTCGTTGGTCTGTGCATGGTCAACATTATGATGATTAAATCAGATGAATACAAGCTCCCGCTGACAGTTGGTGGATTGGGTAATTTATATTTTTTCTGTGTATGTTAATGAATGAAATGAATGTGATATCACTCCGACTAGAGATCACGACAGATCATTTCGTGACAATTATGATACTTCTCACTGGTGACTGACTGACTGACTGAACGCTAGCAAGATGCAGTTGTCTGAAATTCCAGTGACATCTCCTGACCACTGTGGGAGCGAAAACTCATAGATAATGAGGTCAGATAGTGTCAGTACTACTTATTGCCGATTAGCAAAAGTGAGAATTGATAGGCCACTGGATTCTGTCGAGGTGATTGCATATTCGCTTAGAGCACTTCGTCGCCTGGAAGTTTCTGTTTCCATTCCTCATGAGATTTCAGTTTCATTTAGTGTGGTAGTTCGCCCAGTCAGCAGCTATCTATTAATGCCACACTTTTATTGATCTACAATGGACAGCTCAGTGAAGTTTGCCTTTAAAATGAAAATAGCAGCAAGAAGAGAGTACCTTCCATGCGCTCATCGATTACATTTCTAACTGTGATGGTATGGCTTACGTGAGAGTCAGGAATGTAGTGCGCAAGAATACAGGAATAATCTGGACGAAAAAGAATAATCTTGGGTATCCGAAATTAGAAGTTGATGTCCAGTGTTTCAGTTCGTGCAGATTTTACACGCTTCCAATAAGAGAAGGTGGAGAATAAAGGGCTTCAAATGAAGACAAAGAAGATGGAGTTAGGGAAGATAAGAATGGACTAACGACAACAACAAGCACCGATCTATATCAGCCGGATAAATATGAAAAGTTCATGTCATTCATTGAACTCTCTGGGCAGTATCCTTCCGACTTCAGGAAATCGAGACTGACACGAATATCACCTTCGAAGAAATTCGATCACAGTCAGTCAATACAGTCATTGTAGGTTTAAGAGCGACTTGATAGAGCTTTTCCAAATAATTTGAAACCTAATTCACTGCGTTGCAAAGTGCTCATCCTGCACAAGGGATGGGCTTTACATGAAAACTCCTATCATTTGTCACTCACTTGTCGACGCGGATTTTGAAGCTTTATACTCACCATCAAGATATCGAAGGGGAATGAACACAAATCTCAGTAGGAATGAATTCATTCGAACAAGGTCTTCAAACGAATATACTCATATAATTATACACTTCACTTGGTTGTCCAACACTCTGAGTTGCAAGTGTCATGTAGTAGGGAATATATTCGTCTCAATTGACACCACATATTACCATGATATTTGAGGACCGGTGAAACGCAGCGGGAAACTTTGGCCAGCTGTTTCAACAGCCTGGTTTCTGACTTATTGGCAGTATCACCTCACGTAAACGTCTCAAAATCAGAACCTGCAAGCTACATGGTCAGTTGGCTTGTAGACCATTCAGCCACTGTGAACTGAATCAATCACCCACGAATACCTGCTTACTTATGCCAACATTCATATTTCGTTGAGTTAGCGTTGCCGATCGCCTGAAAACTAGGACGAATCAGTTTGCGGGACTCAGAAATTAGCCACTCCAATACTGTTTGACTGTTCTGTATCCAGTGTAAAATCTGACTGTTTAATCTCGGGTCACGACTGTAAACTCGAAGAGAAGAGTGACATTTTCACGTGGCATCCCTCATTGAATTTGCGTGATATTTGGAAAATTTTGCAGACTGCTACTGACATAACATCAGTGACAATTGCGAGTGGAACAGCATTGTGTATTGGTGCGTTATATGAATCAATAACTTGAACTTTGAAACTCAACTGATCATTAGGTCATTATTATTATTATTATTGTTTCACTTCATTCTTGAACTAGGTCTACTTGAAGAGATTTGAAACCTTTCCTTTCAACCATTAAAATTTCTTTTCGTTTATTTTAAGGATATTACACTGTCGAATTTGGAGGGATCAGTTTCACTATGGGAAGTAACTACAACGTTTCAATTCAGGATAAGCGCTGTTCATACTGGTTTGTATTCGGCAGTACCCTTACTGACGAAGAAATGACAACGAAAACTGGAAGGCGTCCCGGTTCAGTGTGAGTCTTCTTTAATATGTGAATTATGTGACATTTGAAGCGTATTGCAAATGTTACATCTAAATCACTTGATGATGGTAATGTAAATATGCTCACTGTTTTGCCAGGAATACTACGTACATTTTCCAAAGAGCCTCCTCATCCATAGAATAATGAGGCCACTGGGTGTCGGTCATGTCTTGTATGTACAGCATCACGATTGAAGCCTGAAATGTAATGGCCAGTGCTTTTTCAGTTTTAATCAATCTCATTCAGTTTTCGTGAACAAAATAACACAATACATAACAACGATAATAATAATAATAATTATGATCAAGGTGAGAGCGGCAGGCATAGAATTAATTCAGATGGTTGTCATTAAATTGACTCGTTCCTGCAGACCTCGTTATATTAAGAAGAAACCAACATATATTTCTGAATTGATAGTAAATGAAAAATCCCCATATTGAAATCAAAACAAGATTTTGAGCGAACAATAGTTTTCGATAACTTCTTCTTCAGGCTCTACAGTTATAAATCCATGAATAACAGAGTACATATAGCCAATAAAGGCAAATGAAAATAATATCCGAAACTGTATTGGGGTGCAACTGTGTAAGTTGAGGTGATAGTCCATTAGTTAGCATAGTCTTTAGCATAGTCTTAGCATGGTCCAAAACATTGTTGGAAAAATATTAAAGATATGAACATAGCAGACAAAACTATGTTATCGCTGGACGTAACATCACTATTTACCAACGTCCCCCTTGTAGAAACTGTCGACTTTATATGTGAACAACTCGTAGAAATAATATAGAAATTGGAATCACACCAAGAAAGTTGAAGGAGTTACTACTAAAATGCACTATGAACGTTCAATTTGTATTTAATAAGGAGTACTACCACCAAAGAGATGGGGTTACTATGGGCTCTCCCCTTGGTTCCTTATTAGCCAACATATTTCTATCCAAATTGGAAAATGGTCCTTTAAAAGGGATACTAAACCAACTTGATTATTATTGTCGATATGTTGACGACACCTTTATCATTTGTAACAATAATTTGGATAGACAACACCTGCTCCAAGTATTCAATAAGGTACACCCAGCTATTAAATTCACTTGTGAACAGGAACTCCAAGGTAGTATTCCATTTCTCGATGTTCTTCTCACAAAAAGATCAGACGGCACCTTGAAAAGAAACATCTATAGGAAAGCGACGTGGAACGGACAATACACCCACTTGCATGGCTTCATACCTATACAATATAAGCGCAACCTAATTCGTCGTCTTAGTCATAGAATCAGACGCATATGTACCGAGGATTGTATTGAAGATGAAATAAGAAATCTTACAAACGCCTTACTACAAAATGACTACCCTACCGACTTTGTAAAGAAGTATATCTACGAAAGTACACATAATATCAAGCGAGACACAGTAAGTAAGAAAAAGCTTTACTTAAATGTGTAATTCAAAGGTGATATAGCCAGTGATTGCCTAAAATGGCGATATCAATGTGTGTATATAAATTTAACTGCTCCTGTGGAGCTAGTTATATAGGTCGTACCCAGAGGAATTTATCTCTATGAACTCGTGGACATATTCCTGTTTGGCTTGGGAAAAGAACAACCAAATCAATTAATAGTGCAATTCTGTCTCATCTGGTGGATAGCGAACACAGCATCAAGGTAGATGAGTCATTTACAGTTGCGTATTGGGTACCGAACAATCTCCCCAAAGGTATACGATTACGCCTCCTAGCCATAGCTGAGGCTTTAGAGAATAATAGAGAAAGACCAGACCTATGTGTACAGAAAAAACTCATCCACTCTCTTTGTCTACCCTGGCCCACTTTAAGGTCACCAGGATCATAATTTTTTCGTACTATTATTATCATTATTATTGTTTTGTGATATCATGTCTTTATTATCCATTTCTCCATCCAGTTTATTTCACCTCATTGTTACCCTTATTTTGTCAACCTTTATGATTTTATACTAAACCTACCAATTCTGTAGCATTTTATTACAATTTACAATTTAGCCTCTTTATTTTATCATCAGACATTATCGGTCAGCCCTCACATCCAGTGCCTCCTTTTTTAACGTGTCTTTACATGTATTTTGTGGTTATCGCATTTTCTCACTCCAAGGACACTTGTATTCTGTTAACTATAAAACAACACTATATCACCCAATTGTCCATTCACACTTCATCACATTTTTCTGACTAAACACCCTATACACATTAAATTGACTATGCTAACTAATGGACTATCATCTGAACTTACACAGTTGCACCCCAATACAGTTTCGGATATTATTTTCATTTGCTTTATTGGCTATATGTACTCTGTTATTCATGAATTTATAACTGTAGAGTCTGAAGAAGAAGTTATCGAAAACAATTGTTCGCTCAAAATCTTGTTTTTTAATTGATAGTGTGGCACACTGTTGTGTACGAGTAGTGGTGTGCCTCGAAGCGCTGGAAGTTATAAATCTCTCATGACGAGTATTCATGACTTCATTTTCACTTTTTCTTTCACTGTCTCTCCTTCCAGGTATTGTAAAGGTTGGCAAATTCCAATCGATTGGAATGAAAAACCATAATAGATTTGCAGCACAGCCAGCCTTCACACTCATTGTAATGCTGAAAAATAGTTTCATCTGTGCTTTTCCAAATTCTTAGCTCAGTTGTTAATGAAATGAACACGCTTCATTTTGTGAATACTGAGTATTTTTCTTCCTTTTTCCCTAGATTAGATCTTCTCTAATAAATTCATATTCAAAATCGCCTATCGTTCTCATCGAATGTTTTGTGTGTTGAGATGCTACGTCAGTGCGGAGTGTGTCTTTCTCGTTGAGTTTGTACTTGTCAAGAAGAAACACACATATTATGGATTCGGTGTAAAGCAGTTAGCATCATACATTTTTATTGTATTGAGTTGTTGCATGCATAGTTTTTGGATGTTTATGCTTTCAAGTATTTCTCATCAGGCTCAACACTGTTATGCATAACATTACAAATGAACATTCACATCTAAACCAATCATGGTATTTTGTCTATAGCATGGTAAATTGTGTAATTAGATATAATGATAGGAGATAAAATTGAATAAAAATTATTTTATCAATAATTAGGATGAAACTGTGAGGCGTTGATGAAAGCTAGGGAAAAGCACGTGAACTGATGGTGTTGTGCTGTATTGTAAAGCAAGTAAATTAAGTGGGTTTTAATTGGACTATTATAAGATTGATGGATGATGAGACCGGGACTGAGAATACAAGTAAAGGGTGTTATGGAAGCTTTCAGTTGGTAATGTTTTAAAAGGCCAACAAAGAAATTCTTTCGAATACACAGTTGAGGTTGATTAGTTTGAATGCCGGTGGCCTCCGCTGTGTGCAGTAGACAAGTGCGAAGTCTATTGGGGAGATTCGCTGGAATACGATGAACTACCTCGAAAACTCTCGTTTTCTTCCCTGCATTAACTACTTTCAATCCACATTCAACAGAAAAAACCGAATGATTTAGTCTCAAACTCCCATCCGTTAACAGAATTTGCTTAACTTTTATATAAAGCATATTGACCAGCCATTCAACACTTAGTCTCCCGTATTAGGTGAAATCCATCCAACTCAGTTATTATATCACGTCCCCATATCATTGACTTCACCTTCACAAAGCTGCCTTATTGTTATGGAAGAGATTTGAGTGACTTGCTGCAAATTCCTGTGCTAAGATGAATCGTATATGACACAACCTGTACAAGAAGTCGGATGAAATGTAACCACTTTTTTGTCAGTAACATGTTGACAGTGATACAAGAGATATACAGTAAAAAAGTCAACATCAGCATACTGACGCGGAAACAGCAGGAAGCCCATCAACGATTGTTTCATCCTTACAAGCCTTGAAAAGCGCATCTATCTAAATAAAGATTCAGTTCACTTTGTTGATTCTCATCGATTGATTTGTAGGTATTTGACTTATCTGAATTGACAACGTGAATTGACAGATTATTGACAAACCGGATGAGACCGCGGAGCACTACTGAGTAGTTGTTACGTCAGACGAGGTTCAAATACATCAGCAGTATGTATTGTTTACAGCGTTTCTAAATTAGGAGACTTCGATTGAAATGTGTCAGTGTACATGGCATCAAATAAATAGACTGAGATTTCCACAGACTCGAAGTCCTACTGCTTTACAACAGTTCAAACGAATACCGAAACATTCTGCGAGAATGTAGAGAATGCGGTTGACGAATACAAACTGAAAAGAAATATAGGCGTAAGGCAATACAGTGACTCACTCAGAATCTAGTAACCTGACCAAATATCTCACTGTTAACTCCAAGTGTTTCAATAGACAAACCAGATTATTTTTCAAACAGTCTCACAGACAAAATCAGAATACGAAAATGTCATTTGAAGTGAGTTCGTACATCAGAATTGATCGAATCTACCGCGTCTGTGTGAATAATGATACACGAAGCTCCAGGAATTTGTTATCTTCATTGTGCGTTATTATTCAGAATGTAATGACTGCACCTGCGTGTACTGATGAACATTAATTCAAATCAAAGTACATTCACATGACTATCTGCATTTCCGAAGTGATCATCTTCATATGATTAATCATCAGGTTATATTGGTAAACAGAGTAGTTAGAATTAACGACTATGTGTGTGATGCAGTAATTTAACATGGTGTTCACAAGTATAAGTCGTGATTAATAACATTAGGCAGATATCATTTCACAGAAAAAAACAAAGTACACAAGTTCATATTCACTGTTTCAATACACCTCGTCTTTGCATTGATATCACAATTTGGAGAAGAACCTTCGTGGGTAAGCTATAATTACAGGATGCTTGGAACATTCTCCCTAGCAAAAGCATGAAGTGTGGGAGTGTTGATCTCAAACTTTTGACATCGTAACAAATATTCTCATATATAGTGCGTATACGTTAGATCGCTACGAAACTCATATTGATACAAATATACTTGACTAGGGAATTGCAATCATACCCACAGCAAAACCTGGGGTATCCACATTGCTTGCTTTGCCAGAAAGAGGAGGACTAGTTGACATGATGACAGTCTATGCAGATGGATTTTGTGTAAATGTGGGCATGTTTCGAACGGAATAATTGGCGCTTGTTGTATAGCGGCAAACACAAATACCCGTTCAGTATTACCGATATATTTGTTCGACCATTAATCATTTAACTACTGAAATTTCAATGGGAACAAACTTTTCACAACTTCTTACATTTTCACTCATTATACTGTGAAAGTGAACTCGTGTTGAATTCACGCTACTTCCTCATGCTCTTCTGATAGTATGTGAACAATTTTCATTCAAGTCAGCTTTTAACTTTCTGTAGTTTTCATTATTTTCCTTCATCCATATCTCATCGACTCCCGGAAACATCTGTCAGCTAATTAATTGTTCAGCAACGAAAATCCTGGCTTTACCTTAATTACAGTCATCGAATGTCGATCATACTAAAACATTTCTTTCCTTTGTAAGATAAGTGATTCAGTCACTCTGTTTTGACTGACATGAAGTGGTTCCGAAGCATGATTCTTGAGTATATTATTTGATAATATGATCGCGTTGTATTCGGAAGGGAAAGAAATCATCTTCACGTTATTCGCATTTCTGTTAGTTGTAGTGATCCAATGCAATAATTGTGCGCATATTTATTTAGTAAATAACAATGGAGATCTGTTTCCTCATTTGTTTACTTTAGACTTCTGTTTCAATTCATAATGAAATCAAAAGGAGACAGCTTTTTGAGTGAGAGTAATGAAATGCGTGCCCAGTGATGTCCATTCATTCGTGAAGATTTTCGATCACTGTGTGATACACTCCCTTCGATTCTACTTAGTCGAGATGGGATGACATCAATGTGGCTAATGGTGTCGGTCCATGGGTATCAAGATATCTTTTTAAATACGGCTTGATTTTACACCGTTTTTTGTTACCACTATGAAATTTTCAGCATGTTATATTGGAAGCCCGCGTTTTGCAGGCTTACCATAGATATCAGGTGTGCGTCGGCGAGAGATCCATACACTGTGCCATTGACGCATACGAAAAAGCACGCCCGACTGCACCTAATTAAGGTCCGCGGTGCAATGGTGAGCCTTCACCCGGGGTCAGAGAATTCTTGATCACCCTGAACTGGCGCCAAGTAAGTTTAATGTTTCAAGCCCTACACCACACTCGGAAAACGAGGTTTGAAAAAAGTTATGTATAAACACATGGTAAATTTAGTTGAATATCACTTGAATTTGTGTATTTCCACGCCAGACTGAATGTTGATCTATCGGCCTACCACCCATGCTTGCGACAAATTTACACAAAATAAAATGTAATTTTATACTTATATATGTGGTTTCGTCTGAAGGAGATGTTCAACTAAACTCATTAGCAGATGTGATAAATTCTCCAAATGGCTGGTAGAGACTTATGGACTAGTCAAGCAGAAGCTGTTGAGGTACAATTTGTAAATTTTCGCGATGTACCTGTGTATATGGGCGATGACTCCTTCATCAAAGAGAATTTCATGAATGCATCAGTATTTGATATTAAGACACGCTAATTTTGTTGCAGACGGCTTGAGCCATTCACTTGAAAAACATTGATGGAAAACGGTTTCCCGCCCAGGTTCATAGAAAAGAATCTCAAACCTAAGAAGACTTCTGAACAAGTCCAATCCGTCCCAAAGAAAATGCTTCTGCTTAATCTAGAATTCAATGGTGAGATTGAAGCAGAAATCCTTCGCAGACGCCTCTCAAAATCGCTGAGGAAAACATACTTCGCCGCTAGCCTACGACTGACGTTTTCCTGCAAGAAACTGTTCAGCCAGAACGCGAAAGACAAGCTGTCGCATTGGGCCACCTCAACGTGCATATACCAGTTTACTTGCTCTTGTGGAGCTGAGTACGTTGGCCGTACCATGCGCCGACTTGAAAAACGCGCTCGTGAACACTATCCAGCCTGGCTAGTAAAAGGAGAACGAAAACGGGTAAATAGTTCGGTGACAGAACACCTGGTGAATTCAGGACATTCAGCGCCACTCGAAAAATCATTGAAAATCATTTACAAGATTCGATCAAACCCATCAAAGGGAGTAAAATCAAGACATCTGGGCATAGCCGAGGCGCTGGCTATACAAAAGCTCAAACCCACGCTTTGTATACAAAATAAATACGTCCAACACCTGTCCTTGCAATGGCCATCATAAACAGGTAATTTTTAGTAATCACCATCCCATCGCCTTTCTTATCTAAACTTCCTGTTTATTCATGTTATTTCAAGTTTTTCTTAATTCCTGTTTACACTACCATATTTTCATACCCGAACTTAGTGTTTATTTTGTCATTTTACTATTTCTACATATTTAATCCCTGATTGCATAAACAATTATTCATTACATTAGTTTTTATCCAAACATCCTGTCTATTTTGTTATTTCTATATTTCTAACCCCTAATTGCACAATGTCAGTCTTCTTAGTTATTTTAATGCTATTTTGTTTGTTTTATCCATCCCCCTGTTTATTATGGCATTCTAATTCCTAATTTTAATTTTTATTAATTTGACCCTTGACCGGATATTATTCTGGAACTTTCTGATCCATTTGATATAAATACACGAATGTACAGCCTAGATGATGACTTCGTCGAAAAATAAATTTTCTTCGCTGCAACTGTCTTCTTATTTACTCCTATGACCCAATGTGTATATTCCATGATTTAAAGAGGAGCAAGGACCGTTCAACAGAAAGGGAACTGAACAAGTTTCTACGTTTGTCCGTCAAGCTTGCTAAGGCGAACGCAAAGATTTTCTTCTTGAAGAATTGTCTCGAGAAACATGAATATCCCAAAGTATTTTGGAAGCATCTCAGACGAAATCACCAGGTGTTCTGTCACCGAACTATTTACCCGTTTTCGTTCTCCTTTTACTAGCCAGGCTGGATAGTGTTCACGAGCGCGTTTTTCAAGTCGGCGCATGGTACGGCCAACGTACTCAGCTCCACAAGAGCAAGTAAACTGGTATATGCACGTTGAGGTGGCCCAATGCGACAGCTTGTCTTTCGCGTTCTGGCTGAACAGTTTCTTGCAGGAAAACGTCAGTCGTAGGCTAGCGGCGAAGTATGTTTTCCTCAGCGATTTTGAGAGGCGTCTGCGAAGGATTTCTGCTTCAATCTCACCATTGAATTCTAGATTAAGCAGAAGCATTTTCTTTGGGACGGATTGGACTTGTTCAGAAGTCTTCTTAGGTTTGAGATTCTTTTCTATGAACCTGGGCGGGAAACCGTTTTCCATCAATGTTTTTCAAGTGAATGGCTCAAGCCGTCTGCAACAAAATTAGCGTGTCTTAATATCAAATACTGATGCATTCATGAAATTCTCTTTGATGAAGGAGTCATCGCCCATATACACAGGTACATCGCGAAAATTTACAAATTGTACCTCAACAGCTTCTGCTTGACTAGTCCATAAGTCTCTACCAGCCATTTGGAGAATTTATCACATCTGCTAATGAGTTTAGTTGAACATCTCCTTCAGACGAAACCACATATATAAGTATAAAATTACATTTTATTTTGTGTAAATTTGTCGCAAGCATGGGTGGTAGGCCGATAGATCAACATTCAGTCTGGCGTGGAAATACACAAATTCAAGTGATATTCAACTAAATTTACCATGTGTTTATACATAACTTTTTTCAAACCTCGTTTTCCGAGTGTGGTGTAGGGCTTGAAACATTAAACTTACTTGGCGCCAGTTCAGGGTGATCAAGAATTCTCTGACCCCGGGTGAAGGCTCACCATTGCACCGCGGACCTTAATTAGGTGCAGTCGGGCGTGCTTTTTCGTATGCGTCAATGGCACAGTGTATGGATCTCTCGCCGACGCACACCTGATATCTATGGTAAGCCTGCAAAACGCGGGCTTCCAATATAACATGCTGAAAATTTCATAGTGGTAACAAAAAACGGTGTAAAATCAAGCCGTATTTAAAAAGATATCTTGATACCCATGGACCGACACCATTAGCCACATTGATGTCATCCCATCTCGACTAAGTAGAATCGAAGGGAGTGTATCACACAGTGATCGAAAATCTTCACGAATGAATGGACATCACTGGGCACGCATTTCATTACTCTCACTCAAAAAGCTGTCTCCTTTTGATTTCATTATGAATTGAAACAGAAGTCTAAAGTAAACAAATGAGGAAACAGATCTCCATTGTTATTTACTAAATAAATATGCGCACAATTATTGCATTGGATCACTACAACTAACAGAAATGCGAATAACGTGAAGATGATTTCTTTCCCTTCCGAATACAACGCGATCATATTATCAAATAATATACTCAAGAATCATGCTTCGGAACCACTTCATGTCAGTCAAAACAGAGTGACTGAATCACTTATCTTACAAGGGAAAGAAATGTTTTAGTATGATCGACATTAGATGACTGTAATTGAAGTAAAGCCAGGATTTTCGTTGCTGAACAATTAATTAGCTGACAGATGTTTCCGGAAGTCGATGAGATATGGATGAAGGAAAATAATGAAAACTACAGAAAGTTAAAAGCTGACTTGAATGAAAATTGTTCACATACTATCAGAAGAGCATGTGGAAGTGGCGTGAATTCAACACGAGTTCACTTTCACAGTATAATGAGTGAAAATGTAAGAAGTTGTGAAAAGTTTGTTCCCATTGAAATTTCAGTAGTTAAATGATTAATGGTCGAACAAATATATCGGTAATACTGAACGGATATTTGTGTTTGCCGCTATACAATAAGCGCCAATTATTCCGTTCGAAACATGCCCACATTTACACAAAATCCATCTGCATAGACTGTCATCATGTCAACTAGTCCTCCTCCTTCTGGCAAAACAAGCAATGTGGATACGCCAGGTTTTGCTGTGGGTATGATTGCAATTCCCTAGTCAAGTATATTTGTATCAATATGAGTTTCGTAGCTATCTAACGTATACGCACCATATATGAGAATATTTGTTACGATGTCAAAAGTTTGAGATCAACACTCCCACACTTCATGCTTTTGCTAGGGAGAATGTTCCAAGCATCCTGTAATTATAGCTTACCCACGAAGGTTCTTCTCCAAATTGTGATATCAATGCAAAGACGAGGTGTATTGAAACAGTGAATATGAACTTGTGTACTTTGTTTTTTTCTGTGAAATGATATCTGCCTAATGTTATTAATCACGACTTATACTTGTGAACACCATGTTAAATTACTGCAACACACACACAGTCGTTAATTCTAACTACTCTGTTTACCAATATAACCTGATGATTAATCATATGAAGATGATCACTTCGGAAATGCAGATAGTCATGTGAATGTACTTTGATTTGAATTATTGTTCATCAGTACACGCAGGTGCAGTCATTACATTCTGAATAATAACGCACAATGAAGATAACAAATTCCTGGAGCTTCGTGTATCATTATTCACACAGACGCGGTAGATTCGATCAATTCTGATGTACGAACTCACTTCAAATGACATTTTCTTATTCTGATTTTGTCAGTGAGACTGTTTGAAAAATAATCTGCTTTGTCTATTGAAACACTTGGAGTTAACAGTGAGATATTTGGTCAGGTTACTAGATTCTGAGTGAGTCACTGTATTGCCTTACGCCTATATTTCTTTTCAGTTTGTATTCGTCAACCGCATTCTCTACATTCTCGCAGAATGTTTCGGTATTCGTTTGAACTGTTGTAAAGCAGTAGGACTTCGAGTCTGTGGAAATCTCAGTCTATTTATTTGATGTCATGTACATTGACACATTTCAATCGAAGTCTCCTTATTTAGAAACGCTGTAAACAATACATACTGCTGATGTATTTGAACCTAGTCTGAAGTAACAACTACTCAGTAGTGCTCCGCGGTCTCATCTGGTTTGTCAATAATCTGTCAATTCACGTTGACAATTCAGATAAGTCAAATACCTACAAACCAATCGATGATAATCAACAAAGTGAACTGAATCTTTATTTAGATAGATGCGCTTTTCAAGGCTTGTAAGGATGAAACAATCGTTGATGGGCTTCCTGCTGTTTCCGCGTCAATATGCTGATGTTGACTTTTTTACTGTATATCTCTTGTATCACTGTCAACATGTTACTGACAAAAAAGTGGTTACATTTCATCCGACTTCTTGTACAAGTTGTGTCATATACGATTCATCTTAGCACAGGAATTTGCAGCAAGTCACTCAAATCTCTTCCATAACAATAAGGCAGCTTCGTGAAGGTGAAGTCAATGATATGGGGACGTGATATAATAACTGAGTTGGATGGATTTCAGCTAATACGGGAGACTAAGTGTTGAATGGTTGGTCAATATGCTTTATATAAAAGTTAAGCAAATTCTGTTAACGGATGGGAGTTTGAGACTAAATCATTCGGTTTTTTCTGTTGAATGTGGATTGAAAGTAGTTAATGCAGGGAAGAAAACGAGAGTTTTCGAGGTAGTTCATCGTATTCCAGCGAATCTCCCCAATAGACTTCGTACTTGTCTACTGCACACAGCGGAGGCCACCGGCATTCAAACTAATCAACCTCAACTGTGTATTCGAAAGAATTTCTTTGTTGGCCTTTTAAAACATTACCAACTGAAAGCTTCCATAACACCCTTTACTTGTATTCTCAGCCCCTGTCTCATCATCCATCAATCTTATAATAGTCCAATTAAAACCCACTGTATTTACTTGCTTTACAATACAGCACAACACCATCAGTTCACGTGCTTTTCCCTAGCTTTCATCAACGCCTCACAGTTTCATCCTAATTATTGATAAAATAATTTTTATTCAATTTTATCTCCTATCATTATATCTAATTACACAATTTACCATGCTATAGACAAAATACCATGATTGGTTTAGATGTGAATGTTCATTTGTAATGTTATGCATAATAGTGTTGAGCCTGATGAGAAAAACTCGAAAGCATAAACATGCAAAAACTATGCATGCAACAACTCAATACAATAAAAATGTATGATGCTAACTGCTTTACACCAAATCCATAATATGTGTGTCTCTTCTTGACAAGTACAAACTCAACGAGAAAGACACACTCCGCACTGACGTAGCATCTCAACACACAAAACATTCGATGAGAACGATAGGCGATTTTGAATATGAATTTATTAGAGAAGATCTAATCTAGGGAAAAAGGAAGAAAAATACTCAGTATTCAAAAAATGAAGCGTGTTCATTTCATTAACAACTGAGCTAAGAATTTGGAAAAGCACAGATGAAACTATTTTTCAGCATTACAATGAGTGTGAAGGCTGGCTGTGCTGCAGTTCTAATATTATTTTTCTTTCCAATCGATTGGAATTTGCCAACCTTTACAATACCTGGAAGGAGAGACAGTGAAAAAAAAAGTGAAAATGAAGTCATGAATACTCGTCATGAGAGATTTATAACTTCCAGCGCTTCGAGGCACACCACTACTCGTACACAACAGTGTGCCACACTATCAATTAAAAAACAAGATTTTGAGCGAACAATAGTTTTCCATAACTTCTTCTTCAGACTCTACAGTTATAAATCCATGAATAACAGAGTACATATAGCCAATAAAGCAAATGAAAATAATATCCGAAACTGTATTGGGGTGCAACTGTGTAAGTTCAGATGATAGTCCATTAGTTAGCATAGTCAATTTAATGTGTATAGGGTGTTTAGTCAGAAAAATGTGATGAAGTGTAAATGAACAATTGGGTGATATAGTGTTGTTTTATTGTTAACAGAATACAAGTGTCCTTGGAGTGAGAAAATGCGATAACCACAAAATACATGTAAAGACACGTTAAAAAAGGAGGCACTGGATGTGAGGGCTGACCGATAATGTCTGATGATAAAATAAAGAGGCTAAATTGTAAATTGTAATAAAATGCTACAGAATTGGTAGGTTTAGTATAAAATCATTAAGGCTGACAAAATAAGGGTAACAATGAGGTGAAATAAACTGGATGGAGAAATGGATAATAAAGACATGATATCACAAAACAATAATAATGATAATAATAGTACGAAAAAATTATGATCCTGGTGACCTTAAAGTGGGCCAGGGTAGACAAAGAGAGTGGATGAGTTTTTTCTGTACACATAGGTCTGGTCTTTCTCTATTATTCTCTAAAGCCTCAGCTATGGCTAGGAGGCGTAATCGTATACCTTCGGGGAGATTGTTCGGTACCCAATACGCAACTGTAAATGACTCATCTACCTTGATGCTGTGTTCGCTATCCACCAGATGAGACAGAATTGCACTATTAATTGATTTGGTTGTTCTTTTCCCAAGCCAAACAGGAATATGTTCACGAGTGCATAGAGATAAATTCCTCTGGGTACGACCTATATAACTAGATCCACAGGAGCAGTTAAATTTATATACACACATTGATGTCGCCATTTTAGGCAATCACTGGCTATATCACCTTTGAATTACACATTTAAGTAAAGCTTTTTCTTACTTACTGTGTCTCGCTTGGTATTATGTGTACTTTCGTGGATATACTTCTTTACAAAATTGGTAGGGTAGTCATTTTGTAGTAAGGCGTTTGTAAGATTTCTTATTTCATCTTCAATACAATCCTTGGTACATATGCGTCTGATGCAATGACTAAGACGACGAATTAGGTTGCGCTTATATTGTATAGGTATGAAGCCATGCAAGTGGGTGTATTGTCCGTTCCACGTCGCTTTCCTATAGATGTTTCTTTTCAAGGTACCGTCTGATCATTTTGTGAGAAGAACATCGAGAAATGGAACACTACCTTGGAGTTCCTGTTCACAAGTGAATTTAATAGCTGGGTGTACCTTATTGAATACTTGGAGCAGGTGTTGTCTATCCAAATTATTGTTACAAATGATAAAGGTGTCGTCAACATATCGACAATAATAATCAAGTTGGTTTAGTATCCCTTTTAAAGGATCATTTTCCAATTTGGATCGAAATATGTCGGCTAATAAGGAACCAAGGGGAGAGCCCATAGTAACCCCATCTCTTCGGTGATAGTACTCCTTATTAAATACAAATTGAACGTTCATAGTGCATTTTAGTAGTAACTCCTTCAACTTTCTTGGTGTGATTCCAATTTCTATATTTTTTCTACGAGTTGTTCACATATAAAGTCGACAGTTTCTACAAGGGGGACGTTGGTAAATAGTGATGTTACGTCCAGCGATAACATAGTTTTGTCTTCTATGTTCATATGTTTAATATTTTTCCAACAATGTTTTGGGCCATGCTAAGACTATGCGAAAGACTATGCCAACTAATGGACTATCATCTCAACTTACACAGTTGCACCCCAATACAGTTTCGGATATTATTTTCATTTGCTTTATTGGCTATATGTACTCTGTTATTCATGGATTTATAACTGTAGAGTCTGAAGAAGAAGTTATCGAAAACAATTGTTCGCTCAAAATCTTGTTTTGATTTCAATATGGGGATTTTTGATTTACTATCAATTCAGAAATATATGTTGGTTTCTTCTTAATATAACGAGGTTTGCAGGAACGAGTCAATTTATTGACACACATCTGAATTAATTCCACGCCTGCCGCTCTCATCTTGATCATAATTATTTTTATTATCGTTGTTATGTATTGTGTAAATTTGTTCACGAAAACTGAATGAGATTGATTAAAACTGAAAAAGCACTGGCCATTACATTTCAGGCCACAATCGTGATGCTGTACATACAAGACATGACCGACACCCAGTCGCCTCATTATTCTATGGATGAGGAGGCTCTTTGGAAAATGTACGTAGTATTCCTGGCAAAACAGTGAGCATATTTACATTACCATCATCAAGTGATTTAGATGTAACATTTGCAATACGCTTCAAATGTCACATAATTCACATATTAAAGAAGACTCACACTGAACCGGGACGCCTTCCAGTTTTCGTTGTCATTTCTTCGTCAGTAAGGGAACTGCCGAATACAAACCAGTATGAACAGCGCTTATCCTGAATTGAAACGTTGTAGTTACTTCCCATAGTGAAACTGATCCCTCCAAATTTGACAGTGTAATATCCTTAAAATAAACGAAAAGAAATTTTGATGGTTGAAAGGAAAGGTTTCAAATCTCCTCAAGTAGACCTAGTTCAAGAATGAAGTGAAACAATAATAATAATAATGACCTAATGATCAGTTGAGTTTCAAAGTTCAAGTTATCGATTCATATAACGCACCAATACACAATGCTGTTCCACTCGCAATTGTCACTGATGTTATGTCAGTAGCAGTCTGCAAAATTTTCCGAATATCACGCAAATTCAATGAGGGGTGCCACGTGAAAATGTCACTCTTCTCTTCGAGTTTACAGTCGTGACCCGAGGTTAAACAGTCAGATTTTACACTGGATACAGAACAGTCAAACAGTATTGGAGTGGCTAATTTCTGAGTCCCGCAAACTGATTCGTCCTAGTTTTCAGGCGATCGGCAACGCTAACTCAACGAAATATGAATGTTGGCATAAGTAAGCAGGTATTCGTGGGTGATTGATTCAGTTCACAGTGGCTGAATGGTCTACAAGCCAACTGACCATGTAGCTTGCAGGTTCTGATTTTGAGACGTTTACGTGAGGTGATACTGCCGATAAGTCAGAAACCAGGCTTTTGAAACAGCTGGCCAAAGTTTCCCGCTGCGTTTCACCGGTCCTCAAATATCATGGTAATATGTGGTGTCAATTGAGACGAATATATTCCCTACTAAATGACACTTGCAACTCAGAGTGTTGGACAACCAAGTGAAGTGTATAATTATATGAGTATATTCGTTTGAAAACCTTGTTCGGATGAATTCATTCCTACTGAGATTTGTGTTCATTCCCCTTCGATATCTTGATGGTGAGTATATAGCTTCGAAATCCGCGTCGACAAGTGAGTGACAAATTATAGGAGTTTTCATGTAAAGCCCATCCCTTGTGCAGGATGAGCACTTTGCAAAATAATGTCACTCAGGTTTTAGAAGCAACGCAGTGAATTAGGTTTCAAATTATTTGGAAAAGCTCTATCAAGTCGCTCTTAAACCTACAATGACTGTATTGACTGACTGTGATCGAATTTCTTCGAAGGTGATATTCGTGTCAGTCTCGATTTCCTGAAGTCGGAAGGATACTGCCCAGAGAGTTCAATGAATGACATGAACTTTTCATATTTATCCGGCTGATATAGATCGGTGCTTGTTGTTGTCGTTAGTCCATTCTTATCTTCCCTAACTCCATCTTCTTTGTCTTCATTTGAAGCCCTTTATTCTCCACCTTCTCTTATTGGAAGCGTGTAAAATCTGCACGAACTGAAACACTGGGCATCAACTTCTAATTCCGGATACCCAAGATTATTCTTTTTCGTCCAGATTATTCCTGTATTCTTGCGCACTACATTCCTGACTCTCACGTAAGCCATACCAACACAGTTAGAAATGTAATCGATGAGCGCATGGAAGGTACTCTCTTCTTGCTGCTATTTTCATTTTAAAGGCAAGCTTCACTCAGCTGTCCATTGTAGATCAATAAAAGTGTGGCATTAATAGATAGCTGCTGACTGGGCGAACTACCACACTAAATGAAACTGAAATCTCATGGGGAATGGAAACAGAAACTTCCAGGCGACGAAGTGTTCTCAGCGAATATGCAATCACCTCGACAGAATCCAGTGGCCTATCAATTCTCACTTTTGCTAATCGGCAATAAGTAGTACTGACACTATCTGACCTCATTATCTATGAGTTTTCGCTCCCACAGTGGTCAGGAGATGTCACTGGAATTTCAGACAACTGCATCTTGCTAGCGTTCAGTCAGTCAGTCAGTCACCAGTGAGAAGTATCATAATTGTCACGAAATGATCTGTCGTGATCTCTAGTCGGAGTGATATCACATTCATTTCATTCATTAACATACACAGAAAAAATATAAATTACCCAATCCACCAACTGTCAGCGGGAGCTGGTATTCATCTGATTTAATCATCATAATGTTGACCATGCACAGACCAACGACCATGAGGAGGTTTATTTTTGACACCATTTTACTTAAAAAAAATAGAAAGTGAAAATATAATGAAGCTTTACTTCGATGTAATCTGAGCATACAGATTAAGATGAGAATTCTCAACACCAATGTTAAGACAGTCTATTGGCCCTTCCACATGGGTCTGAAACTCGGCCAGTGAATCACGCTTTCTGAATGCTTAGACTGTTGAGAAATCCGTCTAAAACATTATCAGCTAGTCTGAATTTTAAGTACTGACTCATTCTTGAAATTCACCTGGATGAAAATGTGAAACTGTAAGATCGTTGCATATATACACATATTAACATATGTTCTTATATATATATATATATATATATATATATATATTTGAGATTTCAAGTATTTATTACATCTAGTATTCGTTGGCGTTGAGTTCCTTCTCCAGCCAAAACCACATATCTTCCTACCCACGGAGCCACACTCTCAGCCACATCGATGCCATCTTTTCTCGACTAACTGAAGTAGGAGATAGTCTCTTGCACAGCGCGAGAACTTCGTCATGGATTATCGAACGATGAATGAACACCGCTTGAGAACCTTTGCTTTAACTGTCACTTGAAACTGGATAGATTATTTCATTACGACAACTCAGTAAACCGATTTCTACTGTTGCACACAAAACATGCGCACGCAATTATTCCATTGGATTACTTCTACTACAAACTTGAATGCAAAGCTTACCACTTGATGATCTACATTTCGAGATGTGACGTCAACGGTTGATTAGGCTATTGCAGACTGTGAATCAGAGTATCGAATTCAGCAGAAAGCTCATCGACTTTCTACCTCATGTCTTAATTAGATGGACAAGATATCTGAATTTCGTAACTGTTTTGTCTCAAGAACGGTTGAATACATGAAGGCGGACGATATATTGTGGGGTGACGCTTCTAAAGTGGCACTACTTGACTATTCCACCAAGCTACATTAAAGAAACTCTCATGAGTTTGATGCGATGACAAGACAATTTTTGAAACAGACTTATCAAAGTGGATCTCACAAATAACAGACAGACCTTATAAATACGAAGATATAAACTGAAGAAATTACGAACGACTTCACTCATCAGGTTTTACAGTTCCACGCGAATGTACAGATCACCTCAGTTTCCACTCGAAATAATACTAGACATGATAAATTTAAAATCACGTATGGGATGGTAAGGATGACTGGTTAAGTTGACGAGAGACTATCCGGACACTATCTCTGCGACATTCATACACACATTTCGGTAGCGAGAATAGGAAGATTTAAGTTAAATACATATTACATAGTATATCATGTATATATTTATACCACTGGCACTCACCCGAAAGATTTACTCAATAAGCACTACCTAACTTGATACCGATAGAACATTTTTTTCGACTATTTATACTAATGACACATGACACTATTCCATTCATTGGTCATTTCCACCAACCAACCAATCAGAATTAAACTGAATCTGTTTGTGCATGTTTGTGTGACAAATCGTAGTTCGGTTATGATTGGAGTAAACTTGATGAGAGAAAAGGCCTGAAAGCGAAACAGTGACAAAATCTGGAAATGAAATCGAAACTGCAGGTCATTCAGCAGATTACTGATTTTATCTGGCCAGATGTATTTTACACAGGCACATCCATCATTTCTCATCAACTAAATATTACAAGAAGTACTAGCGTGGATGGAAACTAGCTTCAGAATGGACGATTTGCTTGATGCCTGTTGCACGAAAGTTGATTGGATAACGCTTTGACTTACCTGGCGCCGGGTTCAGGGTGATCAAGATTACTCTGAACCCGGGTCGAGGCTCATCATTGAACATCGGTGAGTTGAAACTCGCGCCGGACCCTAATCATGCATGTAGTGATGACGGGCACTGAGTTTAAGTCTCAGTGACGACATCACCAAATGATGAATCTGAAATAGGGTGAAATCCACATCGTGGATTCAATTCCACTGCTACTCACCAGACATCGCAATAACTTCACCTTCATCCGTAGTGCTCAATACTTACACAAATCGAAGAACACTCACACAAATATCTGCTTTTCCGATGTAATCTCTTTCACACGAAATCTGATCCGATTCTACAGATAAACAGAGTATTTTAAAAACATGATTGTGCTTGTGAGCAGAGTCTGAGCAAAGTACTCAACTTCATGTTCACCACTCACTGTCATGCGAATTGACGTGACCTATGTATGACAGATATCATTTCACAGTAAATCCAAAGTTGATAAAACTGAATGTCACGTCAGTAACCACGACAAACAATCGTGAACATCAAGCCTAATTCCTGCCTGAGACGATGCTCACGCGAACAGTGATTACCCAACTTATAACTGTAGCTTGTTGATTGAACATTCATTTATGTGTTGTGGTCGCGCTTAATCACAAATTGGCAGACGTTAGAATTCATGAGCTTTTCAATCTGATCTCAGTGTCTGCATTTTGAACAGGGTGGTCGTGTAACTGGAAAGACCTGGGTTCGAACCCCAGTGTGTGTGCGTACTACCGATGATTCCCAAACTAGGATGAAACGGCTGTTCAGTACTCCCTGGTTTACGATGGTTCCCTTACTGATTTCAATCCATGATCAACTCGAAAGTACAAAACTAAACCTTACAAATCAAAATATTCAGAATGATATTCCAGTTCGTTGGCAGTTGTACTGAGTAACCCCTTGTTACATTTATTCGGTGTGGCGTCCATGTTCATTCACTCTTATTTTGAGTGATCTGGATGTTTGACCCACTTATTTGGTCTCACAATAAGCACAAGCTACCTAGTAAATCACAGTGTTTTATTCATCGAGTTTACGGGATCTTTCAGTTGATTTGTTAAATTTTTAGTGAGATTCGTCTGTTTCAAGCTTGTGCGAATCCAAATATTGTTGAGGTTTCTTCGAACGGCTTCTGATGTACAAACGTCCTATGGTATTGTGACTGTGCATTATTCAATCTTGTCATCCTCCGCTTTTACCTTCTTTTTTCTCTTTTTTAATATTATCTTTGATAAATCCGTTTAATTATTATTTGTCGAGTTGCCTTTTTAATAAGATGGTTATTTATTTACGCTGGTTCTCTGGTGTTGCTATATATCTACGTATTCTGTGAGAGGATGAGCTGAGTGATAATCAAGGAATCTTCCAGAATATGTGGTTTTTCTAAATAACGTTGATTTATGCTATCATCTTATACAAATTGTATTTTGTGGTTTAACGCACACAGTTCTTCAATTTCATTCTATATTTCCTAAGTGAATTTTATTGAGTCAACATGACTGTTTATGTGCGAGAAGAATTTCTCAACATCTTTTTTCATTATTACTAACGTGTCGTCAACATATCTCCCTAAACATTCTATTGACGAACTGAATGGTTTAGGTGGATTCTCTCCCTAAATATCCATGAATATGTCAGCTATTATTGACCAAATATGCGATATCTTGTGGTGAGACAGATTTTCACACCGATCATTTACCTCATTCAACTCAATCCATTCTGGGTAGAGTGAATCACATCACCGCCAATTAATTCCTGACGCATACGACAGTGTTAGTATTTCTCGATTGCTGAGAACCATTCAGCACTATAAGCAGCTGAAAGAACTTATGAAAAACGAAGAGATTATGATATTACGTCCTGATAAAGGCGGAGAAATCGTAATCATGAATCGTAAGGACTATATCAGTAAGATGCTGACTATACTATCCGATGAATGTAAATTCACAAAAGCGATTAACGAGAAAAACATGACTGAACAGACCGAACAAAAGCTAACGGACACCCTCCGTAAACTAAAAACTGAATCTTTGATCAGCAACGAAACGTTCGAATGCATAAGACCATCCGGCTCAAATATACCACGACTCTACGGACTTCTGAGAGTACACAAGAAGGGCAACCCTCTTCGACCGATCTTCGACATGACCAATTCGCCTAATCACCACACAGCCCAATGGCTAGCAGATCTACTAGAACCAATCAGAAGACAAGTTTCCTGCCGCACGGTTCGAGATTCATTAGACTTTATCGACTCAATTGAAAACAACAACGTATCCAACAAGACAATGATCTCATCATATGTCACATCACTATTCACAAATGTTCCGCTGACTGAAACAATATGCTATATATGCGAACTTATTGATTCCAAAGGAATAAACATCGGTATACCCACCGAGCGTCTTAAAGAACTCCTGCTGAGGTGTACCCTGAATGTTCGATTCTCTTTCAACAACGAAATATATCGCCAAAAAGATGGTATAGCTGTGGGCTCACCACTAGGCCCATTACTTGCAGACTTCTTCATGGCAAAACTCGAAAACACATGCATGAAGAAAATGATCGATACCTTTGGAATCTACAAGAGATACGTCGACGACACTTTCATTATCCTCAACAATGAAGAGAATCTAGACGACATCCTGAAGTCGTCTAACAACTGCCACCCCGCAATTCAGTTCACGCTGGATAAAGACTCCAACTCTAAAATATCCTTTCTTGACATCCAACTAACAAGACGACAACAGGATAGAACACTGAAAACATGTATCTACAGAAAGTCGACATGGAACGGACAGCTTATTAACTTCCACAGTTGGGTACCCCTATACACCAAACGGAACCTGATCGGTTCACTCAGCTACAGAGTTCCCAGAATTTGTACCCCGGACACCGTAGAAGATGAACTGGACAATCTCAAGAGAATCCTCTTCGAGAATTGTTACCCAGAACGATTTATTGCAAAATCTATGAATCCTAGGCCACAAAAGCCGCCCATGCATAGCGTCCCGAAGAAACCACTCTACACGAACCTTCAATTCAATAGAGATACATCTGCGGAAACACTAAAAAATCGACTGTCGCGCTCATTCAAGAAGACCTTCTTCGCAGCTAAACTACGACTAACTTTCTCCACAAAACCTATGATTCATGTGAACGTGAAGGATAA